TCATAGGCTGTGAATGCCTCCCATTGGCTGAAGCTAGCCAGTAGTCATGGAAATAACTTGGCCATCTACACTGCCAGCCTTGTGAATCAGAAAAGGACTGGGAGCTCCAAATGCTCATACCTGGCAGAGAGCAAGTGGAAGCATGGAAGAGCACTGCCAGCTCTAGTTCAAAGCTCTGGAAAGTCCTGAGCTCACATAAACGCCAAACCACTTGCCGGGGTTCCTGGATCGTGGCACTTGAAGTTCTCTGAGTCTGCGGGCCAAATCTAGAAACAGGGGTGATAGGAGTATTCAATCCAGGGTCTACTCGAGGGCTTTCTGCGGTTCATGTGAGGCACAGAGGGCTGTGAATTGGCTTTAGGAGAGAGGTAGACACGTGGAATACGGGGATTCAAAGCACAAACTTTGGATCTGGAAAGAAATGGGGTCCTACCACCCTTCAGCAACACCCTCTCCACTTTGGTCTTTTAAACTTAGACTCATGCTCTGATTGATTCAGTGAGAGATGGCCAGCTAAGCTTGCCCTGTGGGCAGCGCTGGGAGCACACAGTGAGTGTGGTGGCTGTGCGTGTCTGAGTAAGAGTGTCATTTGGAGGGAAGCTGTTTCAAGCAAAGAATTGGCATGTTTGAGCATGAGTTGAGTGAAGCTGCCACCAAGAGGGTGACAAAAGAAGGGAATTTGTTGGTCCGTATCCATTTCGAATTCTGGGATTCAACTAGTCTGGTACTAGCACAGTGGATAAGGAATGAGAAAAGGCCAGGGGTGAGAGAGGGTAGCAGGAGGCTTGTAGGAGCTTCTTGCTGAGGCAAGGGTTAGGGCAAAGAGGGAGAATAAGTTCTTTTCAGTCAGGAATTCAAGCATCACAAGGGTTCACAGATTTGAAATCAGCACACGTGCTGGCAGACCGTCTTCAGAGGGAGGTTATGGCTGTATATGTATGTACCTGAATACAGCCGGTGAGGGTACAACCAGGGAAGAGGTTCTTCAGTGGCTGAGGATGCCTGTGTGCAATCAAGACTGACTAGTAACTACATCGAGACAGTAGTGACTAACTATGAACCCAGGTTTCTAGTGAATTCATCATGGTGCTGCCAACTACAAGCACAAACTGCGAAGGGAATAGGTGTGTGGCATGTACAAGAGGAAGGTACAAAATAGGGCCTGGCCTTAGGAAGCAGTTTATTTGGAAGACCAGCATAAGAGCTGACCCTTGGCACTGGATACATAGTGCGCTCTGTTGAATTGGCCAGGAGAAGGGACATTAGTCTGGAGCTATGCCTCTAGAGATCATGTTAATTAAATACTGCAGCCCAGGAAGCTACAAGGAAAGAAAAATATGCTCAATCTGGAGAACGAGAAGTCCTGGACTCTTCCAACAGTTGTGAAATTTCCTCTGAACGGCTTACACAACTTTTGTGCAAGCAAAACGGCCATAGGCAAAAAAAAGTTCAGCCCGCTGGTGTAGTGGTCTTTAATATGTCTTTCAGGAAAGCACAGTGCACACTTGAAAGTTCAGAAAAATCTGTTTGCAATTCATTAAAGTTACCATGGTTTTCTTCTGCAGGAGGCTCTGCCATTTATGACTAAATAAAAGGGACAGACTTAAAAACAGGGGTGTGTGGTGGGGGCCTATTCTCAAGTGTAAAACAGAAGATGGGAGGAAACAAATGCCAGTTCAGCCAGAGGATTAAGCCAAAACTCTTTGGGTAAATAAAATCGATGGTGTATACCAGAAGCAGAGGCCTCCAGAGTTTGCCAGCTGGAGGTGACACTGGTAAACACGGCAGAAGCCTAAGATCATCTGCCCTCCTGAAAACAGAGCTGTTTTATAAGCTGGCTTTTCATACGCTAGTAAGAATCTCCAACTTCAAACATTATAGTCACCTTGTACCCTGCTCTATGCACATCCAACCTAAACTTTTAGTTTCATATATAAAAGGCAGGATTCAATGGGGTCATTTTTGTAGGGTCACAACTTTAAGTAAGACTTTTAAGGCCCCAGTGCAAAGAATCGTATATAGCATTTACTTGGAGTGTTTTCTACTGAGAATTACTTCTCTGCCAGGAGCTGATAGAGATAGAGTTGGCATGGGGGAAATCAAATGAGGTTGTGTGCTACCCAACCCTTGACCACCAACACTCATGGTTCAGAAAGGCCTAGGCAGAACAGAGTCTCAAAACTCTTACTAACATACTCCTGAGTTTTTGTGGGTGGTTTGTGGTGACTTCTGAGAGATGAGTGAGCTGACCATATGCCAGAAGCTGGCACTAAGTGAGTAAAAATACAGCCAGCCTTGCAGGAAGATGAGTGTGTGCACTGCAGGGGTAGGAGGGAGCAGGCACCTGTACCATGAATGCTATAGTATGGAAGTTAAAGTCATTGTAAAAGTTGTGGGGTGTGTGTGTGTGCACGTGCATGTGCATGTGTGTGTACACATGTTAACTACCACCTTTCTTGTAGTGTGGAGCAGCAGGCCGCTTCCTGACTCCTGGCTCCTGCATGGCTAGCTTTACCCAAAATAAATATATGGAAACTATTCTTTTAAACACTGCTTGGCCCATTAGCTCTAGCCTCTTACTGGCTAACTCTCACATCTTGATTAGCCCATATCTAATAATCTGTGTAGCACCATGAGGTGGTGGCTTACCGGTAAGATCTTAACCTGCATCCATCTTGGAAAGAAGAGCTATGGCGACCACCTGGAGTGGAGAGGAGAGCCATTTGGCTCACTGCCTTCTTCCTCCCAGCATTCTGTTCTGTCTACTCCTCCTACCTAATTTTCTGTCCTATCAGGCCAAGCAGTTTTCTTTATTAATTAACCAGTGAAAGCAACAGATAGATACAAGACCCACCTCCATCACTTTTTGAGAGGAGAGGAAAGGGGATGTGGGAAGAGCAGGAGGGTAGAAAATTGCTGTGTTCCTACACTCAGATTTCACGTTGGAACTTTGAACGGTGAAAACCTGCATTCTTTAAAATATTTGCTCTTTTTTTTAAGAGTCTATTTCTAAGCTTTCCCTTCCCTCAGAGATCACCTGGTTTGTGAACAATTAGAGAACAAGACCATGCTTGGGAGTTGGATCTGTCTGGAAAGGTCTTGCCAAGCAAACATGAAGACCTGCGTTTGGATTGCCAGCACTTGTATCAGAAGAAAACGCCAGGCTGGGGGAGCATGTGACTGTATTCAAGGCTGGCCTTGAACTTCTGGTTCTCCTGCCTCTGCTCGTCTAGTGCTGAGCTGGAAGTCTATTCTGCATGTCTATGCAGATGTCATAGGCTAGAGCCTGAAAATCACAAAGTTATTAGCATGCTTATTGAAACAATGGATTCTTATGAAACCCAAACTTTATAGACTGGTAAATCCATCTGGAGAAGAAATTTCTCCCAACTCACGCTGGAATGTGACATTCAATCATCAACAGATTATTTATTAATTGGATTAAATGAATTATTGCCTACTCTTTTACAAAAAAAAACACTCACATTTTGGCGACTTCTAAAACACACACACACAAAGTATAATTTTAACAAGAGAACTGCCACATCATTCTAACTAACTCCCTTTATGGAGCAAAAATATATAATAATCTATAACCCATCACAGCTGTTTGGCTGGAATTACCAATTACCTTCCATACTTGAGAGATGCTTTCCAGATTTTTTAACAAGTCCTCACAGTAAATTTTTAAACCAATTTTCTTAAAGGCAACTGATAAGATTTAAAACCTCTTAGGCAAGAGATGGCGAGGTTCTCTACTTAAACAAGCCGAATACGAAATCAAGGCTTTCCATGACTACAGGAAGATGAAGATGGGAATTAAAATAAAACACAACCCAAAAAGCTGGGCTTATTTTAAACAGCATTTCAATAAAGTGTGGAACATGTTTCTTCCCCATCTTTGGATATGGGTGTGGTAGATTTATGGGAGACCACATCGAAGGTGTCTTGAAGCCTGGTGACAAGCTATCAAACATCTGTGGTCTCCCCCTGTCCCCGGCTCTAATGGCTTCTGAGCCAGTGCATTTGGGAAAGGCCTGCTGTTATTCAGGAAGTTGCAAAGACAAGTAGCTCACCCAGTGCCTTCCCAGCACCTCACAGGCAAACGAAATCAAGAGGTTCAGGACAAAATGACAAGCACACTTGAAGTAACTTGATCAGGCAGAATCAATAGGGAATGCTCAGGAAGCTAACAACATGATTACTTAAAAAGGGAGTGGGGGCTGGGGAGAAGCGGTGCAGGCAAGCTGTCCACAACACCCAGCATGACTGCGAGTCAGCTCACTAGGAGGGTGAAGTACTTGCTGAACAAGCCTAAGGACCAGATTCAGATTCCCCATTCTAAGCAGAAAAGTCAGGCATGGCGCCGCACCTGTAACCCTAGACCCAGCAAAAGTCAGAGGTACATGGATCCCAGAGGCTCACTACTTCACCAAAATATAAATCTCCAGCTTCAGTGAGAGATGCCAGCTCAGAAAATAAAGTGGAGAAACAATTGAGGAAGACATCCCAGTTAGTGTCAACCTCTGGCTTCCCGCATAGACAAGCATATACACGTGCACAATAACACGGTGACTTTGTAGCCTCCAAGCACACATTCCCATATCTGTCTATATTTGCCTGACACTCCTAGATGTGTTTTCTTCCATCTTTATTATAGTTTTTTTTTTTTACTAAATCACAGTAAATTTATGGCGTGCACAGGCACACAGGTGTGTATGTATGTATACCTTCGTGTGTGCAGGTGCTGAGATGGAAATCGTATCCTCGTGCTCATGCTGTAGCCACTTTAACAACTGGGCTGTCCCTCCAGCTTTCCCATCAAACACCTTATTATTTTAATTGTTCATCTATGTTGCACACTCTGATCAGCTAATGGGACTATGTAACACGCAGTTAGAAAGAGCAGACGAGGGCAGTTTTAGCAATGGCAGCCCCTCAAACACTACTTGCGTTTTCTAAATGATTCACATATATTGATCTTCTCTTTCTTTAAACAGAAGAGTGTGCCTCCCTGATCCTCGCCTGTCTCTTTTGCCAATTCCTGGACTGCCTCCTCATGCTCCCTGACACGTGCGAAACCATTTGCATCAACCTGTGCTGCCCCTCTCACAGGTACTACTCGGCCTCAGACGAGAACCATCCTCGCAATGACTGCAACCTGACCTGTGACGTGGACTGCAGCCTCTTTGAATCCTGCCATGAGACCAGTGAGTGCCTGGAGCTGGCCATGGAGATATCAGAAATCTGTTACCGCTAGCGCCAAGGAGAGAGCAACACGCGGGCGCTCGGTCCTTTTGGCCGCAGTGGGGAATTCTATTACAGTGCATCTGAGATAAGAGCTCCATGCGCCCAAATGCAAGGGCCATACATGTTTCTTGGATGCTCTAGGCCATTTGATGCTGCACCTGTCTGGGAAAGCTACGACTGTCAACTCAGCCATCTTCTTCCAAATTTCACAACCGCATGGCTCACTGCAAAATAGGATTCTTGATCACACACGATGAACAAATTTAAATGCCATAGGTACAAGATGTTTCCTGACTGTTAAATAGCATGCTACACACCACACTGCGCTCTTGACTAGGCAATCTGCATTGTGGCTCCAACTTCATTCATGAATTCAGGACAAATTATGCTTTCGTGTAGGCGCAACACGCATTAGTTATCTTTACGATGGACTCATGCATAAACATTATGCATTATTGGTCATTATTAATAATGTATTGTGTAACATCATTTTGTAATTAAAAATTTATTTATACAGTCTCTTAAAATTCACTTATATCTACAGTTTAGGTAGGAAAGGGAATTAAATGAATCAGAAACCATGTTCCTGTAATTAAAGCAGATGTCTTTGAAACCTCTCCAATGAATCTTGAATCTGAAAGACTTCAGGAGAGCCCTATAATTCTAAACAGTATCATTGTATGTCTGTGGCTGCATCTTAAGAGGTCATGCATATTCCTAATTGGTTACATAAAGATGCTTCTTTATTACAATAGGCAAAAATGGGAGCCATGTGCATGTTCTGGGAATATGACCTATGGTAATCACTTCTTTGCTTTCCTCACTCCTGTTTGTCAGGTGTAATAAGCAACAGGATATTAAAAGGAAATCAGTTCAGTTTTCCTAAATGGTCCCAGGTATGGGCACCTAAAATAAATACACCTGCAGGGACTTGCTCAGCTCACATGTCCCAATGCAGCATTCATGCTCTGGAAACAACAATTTTAAAACCAGTATCTTATTTTGTGCTAATAAAGTAGCTGATGACTACACTGGAAGCTTCTTTACCCTTACACTGTTGCAAAAGGCATGATGCACGCTCCAAAGTCAAATGAAGTAAATCAAAACACATTACTTGGTAAGAAAGGCACATCTAAGTTAAAGTAACTTGGGAATGAATCTCTACACTCTATAGGAGTGGGACAGTGAGGGAAATACTTTGTTCATAGGCATGCATGTATGTAGTCCCATGGATGGAACACAGCATGTTTCATATGACATATTGACAGAGCATAACATAGCAGCCAACAAACAGAGCAGACAACTGAAAGTGGGGGCCGAGAGATACCTAAGCACTGTGAGAGCCCCCAAAATACCTGTTTGGTTTTTACATTGTTTTACTCTCTTGCTTTGGGTAATTTTAGACAAAAAGCAATGTTTGTTTGCATTGTAAACTAGCATTATATTTTCTAATCTATAATAAATTTCAAACATTAAATGGAATTAATCTTTAAAAACTACTACTGAGCTGCCTTGAGATTGCATTTAACCCCTCTTAGCTTGCTCCTGAAAGTAGGGTATATCCATGGTCAATGCTGGCTTTTTTTTTGTGTGTGACTATTATGTTACTCATGGACCACAGAGCATGAGAGTATGCCATCGCCAGCCCCAAACACTTCTTTTTCTCTACCCTTCAGAAGGTCAAAGACACTACTCTCAACTGAATGCATATACTTCCCAGATCATTAAAAATAATGTGGAGGGCCGTGGTGGTACCGACCTAGAGTTCAGCACCTGAGAAATCAAATCGGATATCGATAATTCAGGGACCCATCAGATACAGAGCAAGTTGGAAGCCAACCTGGGCTACCTGAGAAGTGTCACAAAGCAAGCCCCAAGAACAGGTGGATCCAAGATGACACGATGCGTTCATGACAGTGGCAGGATCCCGACTCAGACCCTAACTCTGCGTCTTTACTTGCTAATTCTTTACATGCATCACAGAAACTAAAACACTACCACCCCAATAACAAATAGTGACGACCTGGAAACCCTTTATGCTTCCAACGCACGCCATCGGCTTTTCTCCAAGCACCTAGCTCTCAACTAACATCCTAGTCACTAAGGAAGGACTCATCGGGGTCTCTGGAGCCCCACCCCACCAGTACTTCATGTACTTGGTCTTGTTGTTCAGTCTGTTACATTTTTGTTCTATGTTTTGTCATGGGCCCCTTATTCTTTCTCAACTACATGCTCTCGATTTATGTAAAGATTGTGCACTTCAAATATGAATTCAATGCTCGTTGTTTAGAGACATGAAAGCCAGCAGTTCTTACTTGACAGTGTTGTCAGGACCCTCCGAAATCCTCCCATGGCCTCGCTTTCCACAGTTGGTTAATTTGTTTCTCACTCTGAGAATTCACCATGCTCTACCAGAAAGGGTCATTCATACAAAGTGTGAAATTTCTTTTCTTTACAGCCAATAATAAAATAGCATCCTTTTGGCAAACATGAATGGTGATTTCAATTGAATTCTCACACATAAAACATGCGCAGCTGGGAAAACACAATTGTAGTGGTAAGCCAGATCAAAGTCAAACATAGTTATTGATTAAACACAAATATCAGGATCTGAGAAGGCACTTGTATTCTACACCAATAATGAAGGCCTGTGATTATAGATTGAGATAATGCTACACTTCGAGGTATGCCTTCTTAGGGAATAAAGCATTCTACTTTAAGGAAGCACATTAGAATCAAAGAGATTAGCGAACATCTATATGGTCTTTTGTGGAGAACGGAGAAAAAAGAACCCCCCATGCAGGCCTGTAACCATAGAGTTACATTGTCTTTGCTTTGCTCCGTGGATTTTTATAAAACCATTGCTCTGCTAAAAGCCACCAAAATATGGAAAGCAATGAAGAAAAGAAGTTACATTTAACTTGCTAATGAAATCGTCCCACTACATGAGCCAAGAGGTCTACAAAATTAATTGCAATGCTGGACAATCAAAGTTAATAGAGTAAAAAGCTCTTCAAGTGTTTTTTTTTTTTCCCCCAAGATGATCAAAAAAAAAAAAAACCATATCCAGGCAGAGAAACTTTATCAATAGAAAGCCTCAAGGACATCATTCAGAATTGCTTTTAAGGATAAACACACAGGTAGAAGGTGTTTGAAGAGATTCATCTCTCAGAGTTGGCAATGTCTCCCTCTTCAGAGGGGGGCAGGAAGAATAATGTCTTGTGATAGCTTTTCTCAATATGATACCTACGCAAGGCAATTAATTGATTCGCAAAGAAAAGGTGGATTATGTCTCATAGTTTTGCATTCTGGTCCACAGCTGGGTAGTTTTGTTGCCGTGGGGTCCAGGGTCCTTTGCAGCAGTACATATATGCTCAGAGCATGACCTAGAAGTAGACCCAGAGAAGGACTGAGTCCTACAATGTCTTTCAAGAGCATGCTTCTAATAGTCAGGCAGAATTTCACTAAATATCACTTCCCAAAAGCCACAATAGCTACCAAGAGTTTCACACATGGACCTCTGGGAAAACATTCGAGATCCCAGGGACAACACTTAATTAAGGGAATCATCAGGTTTCTCAGACTGTGTGAACAGACGGCTTCCAAAGAAATGTGCACGCTTGGCTTAAGGGTCTGCTGGGTACTTTGTGAAAAGCCAATATGAGCAATGGCCTGGCATTTGCCACTTACAGCGTCAGATGGACTATACAAAAGAGGAGGGGAGCTATGCTAGGATTATTAAGATACATGAAATTAAATTTGTGCTAGTCACTGTTCCAGAAAGAAGTCTAGACAGATCCTAATATTATAAAGAAGGGTCTGAGAAAGGAGAGACCAGCAAAGACTGGAAGCAGGGGACAGCCTGTGTTCTCGGGCTCTAAGTTCCACCATTGACCTACCATCCCAATATGCTGCCTGCTTTCAAGTTACCAACTGTGAGTGATTTGCCCTCCTTTTCCCATGGAGCAATGCTTGGAAGCATAGCTTATTGTCAAACAATAGAGAAGAAGTTTCGGGGACTGGGTACCTAACAGGTAGAAACCAGGTACACTGCCAAAGGTCCAGTGATGATCCCTGTTATGCTGAACTGGGGAGTGTTCCCCCAGGCTCAGTGGTTTAAATACTTTAGCCTAGTGAATGACATAGTTTTTTGGGGGTAGGGGTTATGAAACCATTAGGAAAGGAGCTGTGGGGAGGTTCTAGACTAAGTCTACTTCTCTGCATCCTGGCAGGTACCATAAAAAAGAGCTGTAACATATCCCCATAACAGAGGATGAAGCCCAGCACCAACCCTTTTCTGCCATGACAGACTGAAATACCATGAGCCAAAAGAAGTACTTCCTGCCTTCTTTATTTTAGGCACATTTTTGATATGGCAACTTGTAGTAATAGGTGTGGTGGGCTGAGTTCCTGCCGCCCGGCAACCGACTAGCTTTACCCAAAATAATTACACATAAACTGTATTCTTTTAAACACTGCCTGGCCCATTAGTTCCAGCCTCTTATTGGCTAGCTCTTACATATTGATCTAACCCATTTCTGATCATCTGTGTAACACCACAAGGTGGCTTATCAGGAAAGATCTTAACCTGCATCTGTCTGGAGTGGGAGAATCATGGCGACTGCCTGACTGGGCTTCTTTCTCCCAGCATTCTGTTCTGTTTACTCTGCCTACCTAATTTTCTGTCCTGTTAAAGGGCCAAGGCAGTTTCTTTATTTAACCAATGAAATCAACACAAAAGACTCCCACATCAGCAACTAGAAAAGTAATTAATATAGACACCTCTACACAAAGGAATATTTAAACTACAATTGTTTAACAAACCCTGCTCGATAGGCTTTTGACCATCTCAATTAATGATCTTCACCTAAAACACTTAAAATCCGAGTCGTCAGATAAAGCATGGAATACCTTGCTAACTTTGAATTTTAGAACAATAGCAATTATCTTTGTATGGAGATATCCTAACTACTGCATGTAACCTATTTATACTATAAAATGATTATTAAA